TTTAAGGGGCAGATGATGACTGTTCAGGTCAGGGGAACTTTGTGGGTGATGGTGTGATGGTGTAGTAACCAGTCCACCTCCTGGAAAGCAACTTTAACGTGGAGATACCAGTAAGATGTCTGTAGTAGTGAGGTTTTAGTTTTACTTTATAAAACTATTTTGTTGTTGAATGGCAGGGAGATGGTGCATGATTTTCTGGCTTTTAGACTGCGACAGCTGGCAGGCAGATTGATGTGCCATTTCAGGCTGTGACCTTTATGACAAAGAGCTCTTCCTAGCCATTTGTTAGATCACAAAAGATAAAATGAGCCCATGTTCAGTGAGTATATACTGATATTGTATGTGTCAAGCTTTATCTCCACTGTCACAAAGTTGTAAATGTGCATTTGAAAACTGAACAAACACTGAATTAGGGAAAATAGTCCCCTCCTCTCTACCTGTTCTGTTTTCTTCCTTTTAAGTGGAGGTATTTTCTTTCTCCCTTTTGCATCTATTGTTACAGAAATCTTCAGCTGTGTTTATTTAAAATGTCGATTTTAGAAGAAAGCAGAAACTAGGATGAAAGTAATACAACAAATTTCACACAAGTCAGTCATTTATTTGTTGCTTGCCTGAGATTATTTCTGGGCTACTGTCTTAAGCAGAACGATTACAGAGAGCATATATGCACAAAGGGATAGGAAGATGCAACTTAATGATTTGGAGGCTTTCATTCTTTTTAAAGATGCATAGGATGAAGGAAGTAAATATACTTCTAGATACAGGTTGATACAGTATATACAGTTATTAACAACATAAAATTGCTGTTTGGTTACTTGTCGTTACATTTGTCTTTCTCATCAGCATACTACTTCACTCACATGAGAAAAGTGAGACGTTTTCAGCATAGCTTCCTAAAGAAAAGACTTAGGGAATTGCTCCACCAATCCTCTTCAACATTTGAAGCTACTTGTATTGAGCAACTGCATCTCAAACATGCTGTAATTCTACAAGTAAGTGGCTGTAGATAGAGACCCACACAAGTGCTTCTGTAATAGCATTCAGCTTTTAGATGCAGCAGTCACACACCTACACAGCTGCTCATGGGCCTTCGCTGTTTTTTGTCCATCTAAGTATGGACTGAAGGCAGCAGGAGTGTGTTGGGAAGGAGAGTGACTAAGATTTTTAACCTAGAAACTTGGGAAGCTGCCTGGAGCTGTAGCTATCAAGGGAACAAGAAGGCTGTATGTTGGTGCATGTGTTGTAGAGGAGTGCCAGAGACAAGAGTACTGACAAGTCTGTTGAAGAAAGCAGGCAAATGCCATGGAGAAACCTGGAGGTACTGCACATGGCTGCTTAAAGCTTGGGTAAGTTCTGAAGACTGTTCTGATACAAAGAGGGTGCCACTGCTGCAACAGTACTGGGAATTTGGAGAAGTTAAAAGCTGGAGAACGCAAAAAATGCAGAAAGCAGACATGTATAAGACCAGCTTTCATTGGCTCTGTTGTTTGTGGAACAGCTCCTTCTTGCCAATAGGTTGATTATTTTCATTCAAGGAGTGTTAAATCTATTACATTATGGAAAATACCGTAAAAAGTAAATATAATTCATATTCTCAACCAAAGGATGTCCTATTTCTTCTAAAAAGATTCTTCTCATCAGAGCTGAAATGCATTGTGTTGTCAGGGCAGGAGGCCAGTGCTTGTAGCCTGCCATCTTTCTTGGACGCGTATAAAAAGGCATGGTTTGTCTGGTATTCTTCACCAGCACAGAACAGGACGTATATAGCAGGACCTGTAGATGCAGTGTTCCTGGTGTTCTTGTTTTTCTTTAATGAAATATGTTAATACAGTCTGATTTTTTTTTTTAATGCATGATGGTTTGCACTGCTGTAAACAAGCCCTCATTTTTATCATGTCAGTATGAATTTTAAATCTATGTACTCTCCTTTTTTTTTTTATATTTTCACTTCTTTGAATGTTTGAATAAGACTTAAAACATATTAAGTGGCTGCACCGTTAACCGAGCCAGCCAACTAAACCATGCACTTATGCATATGTAGTGACTGCTATTAAGCTAATTGATTGTGTTTGAATTTATGGTATTATGTCCTCTGATTGCAGGGAAGTATGACTAAGGCTGTGCGCAGTCTCCCAAGTATGAGCCAATTAACTGCTTTGGCCAGGAATGCCAAAAGCAGAAATATGTAAGAGAAGTGGAAGATGAAGCTATAAAAGAAATAAGATACATAAATGGTGTATTAATCATAAGTACTTAGACATATGTTGTCTGTCTAATGTAGCATGTTCACAAAGTGGCTGTTGTGACTAGAACTTTTCAGGGTCTGTCCCAAGTTACATTTGTGCAGCATGGTGAATAGCTGCATTTGCAATGAATAAGAAGAATGTAAAAAATGTTAAATAGTGTTTTATGGCAGATTGAGAATGAGAAATGACTCACAAACCTGCAGAATAGTGTTAGCGAAAAATAGTTGTGTCCAGCAGTCAAAGGTAGCCGCTGAGCTACACCGCCTTCTGTCCACCAGAAGATGGTGCCCTAGAATACATTCGGTAATTGCAATTTTTAAAAGCAGTGATTTCTGAATGAGTATTTAAAAACAAACAAAAACCAACAAAACCCTGCCATGCTACGGTCCTAAAAACAAAACAGCACAGCCTTTGTGATGCTTGTACTTTCATTCAAATCCTGAAGTAGTGTAAAAATAGTTGCATGGTCTGCTGCTTTCAGTGAAGTGGCTATCTAGATCTAAAGTATTTTGGAGAACAAGAATGACCTCAATTGACTTTAATTCCAAATAATCACCAAAATATTAATGCACATTCATATCCAGACTTTATATTCTGAAAAGCTTGCTTATGATTAAATTTATCACAACACAAATGAGCATACAGGACTCAAGCAAGATAAAGCAATATAAAACACAATACAGCTAGAACTTAAATGAATACAAAATAAAAGCTCCAAATCAAACTATTCCTCTTCATATTTTTAATATAAATTTCACAAGTATTTCTTTTTAAATCAGGCTTTGGAACAGAGGGAGGAACAGGGATAATAGTGATATTCTTTACCAAGAAACAAATCAATTTTATAAATGCAGATCAGAAAAGTAAACCCAAGTAGCACTAAGTCTTATTTACCTGTGGATTTCCAAGTATAATTTTGTTGTTTTCTTGATAAGGGAGAGAAAGAAGAAAAATGCAAAAAAAAATAATAATAATCAAGTAGCATCCAGTTCAACAGTAAAATCTGTTTGAGCAGCTTCACATTGATAAATGGATGAAATGAGAAAATTAACTAACTCCTGTGCTGTATCAGTAAAGACATACATTGTAAAACATGCTACATGCAAGTCAGGCAGATTTTTTGCCACAGTCTTAAGGAGGGCCAAAGTTTCACCAGCGAATTCTTAAATCTGCAGATTCTCTGCTTTGTTGCAGCTCAGGGAGACAGAATCCCCAGCAGACCATTAATTTTCCCTGCCTGCTGGCTTGGCCAGGGTTTTGCTGAAGGCACTGGCAATTAGAAGAAACAGGAGTGTGCTGCCTGTGAGGCCCAGCCGGCCAATATTCACAGATCAATAACTCCACCTGGCTTTTTTGCTCCCTCTAAATCTCACACAAAGGAGTTTATTTAGCAGAAGCAGCTGGCTTTCCTTCATATCTGATGTGCTGATATAACTTAACAGTAGACACAAGGATTGCCACAACAAATTACAAAGTGAAGTTCTCTTTTAATATTCCATGACAGCTCTTATGTTCTGAGTTGCACAAGTCTTTTTTGCAATATAAACATTTCAGGTTGTTAAAATTAAACACGTGTATTTAAAACAAATTGGGGAGAAAAACGTGTCACGCTGTAATTGCCAATCATTTTTTCTTTTATACAGCAGTAAGAAGTATGATAGGAGCACTTACTACAACAACAGCAGCTCTAACTCTATGCGTCTTGTTTGCACAGCACTGCACATATGGTCCTCTGTGAGAAACACAGCGCTGCTCGAGTGCATTGTGTACCTTGCAAACATATTTATCTCACCCATGTGGGCCACATCTGTGGCTGCAGCATGGATAAGCACTATGTTCACTACCTGTGTGACAGGAGGATGATTTGCTGGAGAGCAGGCCTGCAGTAGAGACAGAGTGCTGTGCAGGAACACCCCTGGCCCTGGGCTGCAGCAGACCTGACTGGGCCTTGCTTTGAGGAGTTACTTATCCAATGTAAGCTTTCAATGGTGAACGTGAGTGGTGCATATCATTTGATCCAAACTCCTTGCTAAAAAGGGCTATTTCGTCTGATACCCCAGCCTCTCTTAGAACCCAGTGTGCTTTCCAATGAGTTAATACCAAAGAAAGCACGTGCTTGAGCTGCTGAGGTACCAAATGTGCACTGAGGAGTTTGCTGCCTGCTGGCAGCATTGTGCTGTGCTGCCTGGCACTGGCTGGCTGGATCTCAGCACAGAGCCGCCAGGACCACAGCCCGTGCCTCAGCCTCACAGCTCTGCAGTCCACACAGCCACTCGGAATGTTTCCCTGCGTGAGCACACAGGTGCAGGCCCTATGCCCTGCTCAGTTAATTGAGAAGTGAAAAACAAAAACTCCTGTAACAGTGTCCATCAGCTTATTGTATAAGGCTCCAATGGTCCAAGCTGCCACACAGCAGGAAGGAGAGCCTGGCTTCCAGGTGGGCTGCGTTAGCACACATACACTGACTTATGAGTGGTGTCCTCCGTACCCCAAGGTCTGCTTTTCAGGACTGGTTCTGTTTAGTTTGTTGGCTTGCAGGATTTATTTATTTATTTATTGCCTGCTACCCTGCACACACAGGTTGCCCATCAGTCGTCCTCCACAGCAGGGGAGGGTTCTGAGTACACAGTTGCATTCAATGTTTAATTAGGAGCGCTAGCAGGACAACGCGTCCCTGGCACGGACAGAGCACCTGCAGCCCTGACCTGCGGCCGTTCCCGGGTGCAGGGTGCTCAGTTTCAGCACCGTGTTTTTGTTTCTGTGAGAACCGTACGTAAGTAACTGCTGCTACAGCGCGGCTCCCCGCCGTGCCGCCCCCGCCCGGGGGTCTCACACAGGTGGGGCCGCCCCGCGCCCGAGCGGCGCGGACGGGAAGTTCCACATCCAGCTGCAGTCAGCGGCGAGAGCGGGAAATCGGGCGCACGCGACCCCATCTGGGCACGGCGCTCCCGCGCGCGGCGGCTCGAGCCCCGGCGGCCGTTAAACCGCCGCTCTCCTGACAGAGCCCGCCGGGGCACGGCTCCTCCGGGCGCGCTCTGCCCGCCGAGCGCCGGCGCGCGGACTCCCCTCGGCCCGGCTCAGCGCCCTGGACGCGGTGACAGCCCCGGCCCTCCGTGAGCAACCGCGGCCCCGAGCGACCGGAGGGGAGGCTGCCGGCCCCGCGGCAGAGCAGCGCCGCGGCCGCCCTCTCCCTGACTGACTCGGTGAAAATCATTGTTTGGCTCCGGCATTAACTACATTCCAGCGGGACGCAGCGCCCAGTCTCCTTCCTCGCATTCCTGCCCTACACAAAGGAGTCCCTGCCTCGCCGAGCCCTGCGCTCCGCTCGCCGCGCCGCGAAGCCCCTCCGGAGCGGCCGCCGCCTTCACCCCCCGCTCGGGGGTGCGGGCCGGGCCGGGAACCCGCTGCGGGTCGGCCGGCCGGGGGCGGCGGGGGCAGGGAGCCGCCGAGCGCAAATTCCTCCGCGCGGCGCGCCATTGACTGGACCGAGCAACTTATTTAAGGCTGGAAAGTGACACAGGGGCTCCTCGTCTCCGCTCGCCGCTTTCCGCAGGGCAGCGCGGCCGTACCGAGGCGAGCGCCGCGGCGTGGGGATGCCGCCGGGGTGTGCGCGTGCCGCAGCCGGGCCGCTGTGCGGGGAGAGAGCCGCGTCCCGCTGATAGCACCGCTGGTGCGCCGCGGGAAGGAACTTTTGGGGTGATTTTTTTTTTTTTTTTTTTTTTTTTTTTTCTTCCTTTCCTACTACGGACTGTGTTTTCATAGAGCGATTCCCAACCTACCCCGGGCCGCCGGGCACAGGCCGAGCATGGAGAAGTACGAGGAGAACATGGCACTGAAGGCCACCAAGTTCATGGAAGACCTCTCCCTCTACGAGCCCTGCCCGGACGCTCCTTATGGCCGGGGCGGTCGCCGGGACCTAACGCTACACGCCGATCTGGAGGAGACCAAGCGGGTCATCGCCGCCCACATGACGGCGGAGCAGCGGGGCCGGAAGATGAACGGCACCGCCGCGCCGCCGCCGCCCGCCGAAGTCTTCTCCGCCGCCGCCCCCTGCGGCAAAGCCGCCCCGCTCCGCGCCGCCAACGGGCGCCCCACCGCCGAGCCGCCGTGCTGCGAGGAGGGGCTGTGCACCCGCTCCGAGGTGGCGCTGCCCTGCTACAGCGGCTTCCCCGACAAGGGCAAGCGCTACTCGGCCGAGGGCTACCGCTACGCCGCGGGCAGCGCCTACGAGAGCGGCTACGTGGCCAAGGGCGGCGGGCGGGCTCCCGGCGGCCCGGACGCCAAGTACGGCAACGCCAGCCCCCGGGCCAGCCTGGCCGCCCCGCCGGGTCCGGGCCCCGGCGCCGAGCACGGCAAGTTCTCCAGCCCGCGCTCCAGCCTGGGCGGTGCGGCTGCGCCGCCCTACGAGAAGTTCTCCAGTCCCCGCTCCAGCTTGGTGGTGCCCGGCCAGGAGAAGTACGGCAGCCCCCGCGGCAGCCTGGTGCAGTACGACGGGGCCGCTCTCAGCCCTCGCTCTAGCTACGCCAGCACGGCCAGCGACACCAGCAAGCACTCCAGCCCCCGCGCCAGTCTCACTAGCTACGACGGCGGCAGCAAACCCAGCAGCAACCGCACCAGCGGCATCAGCATGGGCTATGACCAACGGCACGCCAGCCCCCGCTCCAGCACCGCCAGCCAGTACTCGTGCACCACCAGCCCGCGCTCCAGCTACTCGGACTCCAGGTACGGGCCGCCGGGCGGCGCCGAGCTGGACGGGACGACTGCCGCCGGGCTCGCCGTGGCCAGCCCCCGCTCCAGCCTCTGCAGTCCCGAGGGCCGCGGCGGGCCGGGCGCCGCCGTGGTTAGCCCCCGCTCCAGCATCTCCAGCCAGAGTTCGCGGAGTTCCCGCGGCTCCATGAGCGCTTACCCCGAGCTGCAGCTGCCCTCGCCCCGCTCCTCCTTGCTTGGTCCCGGCCCTCAGGAGGACTGCGCCGCGCCCGAGCTGGGGGACGTCTACCGCAAGGTCCGTGCCCAGTCTCCGCAGCGGCACGACCCGCAGCACCCGGCCGCTGCGCCCGACGCCGCGCCCCCCTACGCTTACAGCCCCACCAAGGGCTCCGCTTCGGCGCCCAAGTTCAAGCTGCCGTATCAGGTGACGCCGTGCCGGGACAGCGGCCCCAGCCAGGCGGAGAGGCGGCTGGAGGCACTGACACTGGAGCTGGAGAAGGAACTGGAGATGCACATGAAGAAGGAGTACTTCGGTGAGTAACTTGCCGCAGGGGCAGGGTGCAGTGCCCGGTCAGGCGGCTCGAGATGGTGAAGGTGTGGGGCCTGCAGGCAGCCGAGGGCTTTGGTATTAGAGAAGGGTGCATCATGTCCAGGGCTGCTCTGGACCAGTTATCTGCTGAAACCTCTGGTTATCGCAGGAGAAAGCCAGCTTGCAGCAGGTACTAACATTCTTACTGGTGACACCAGTGTTTGCACCTTACTTCACAACTGATGCTTTGTCTCTGTTCTGTGTAGCTTGTCAGGATCTGGGATGCCTTCCCTTCCTGGGGCTGGTGGGAGACTTGTCTGAGGCATTATAGAAGCTGTTTGTGCTGTTGGAGTTCATAGTGACTTATGTTTTTGTCTTTGTCAGTAAGGCTCAGTGTTCCTGAGTTTGTGGCATTTGTGATTGTACTTTCAGGTCATGTACTACGTTCTGATGCTTGTGGACAGCTTGACTGTTAAGGTAGTTCTCAGTGTCTCATTCAGAGATGTCCTAGGCCACAGTGCTCCTGGAAGCCCCAGTGTTGTCACAGCCCCTTGTGGCCTCATGGGGCCTGCATTGTGCTGAGTCGGGCAGGGGCTTGGTGTTGCTTGTGGGCTGTGGGAGGGAGGATGGAAGAGACCTCCTTGTCTTTGCTAAGGCTGTCAGCCTGTTGGCAATATCCTGAATGTCTTTGTTCTTTACAGAACAGAAGTAATTTCTTTAAGCATGTGAATATGCCTTGTAGTCACACCAAAGTTCAGATAGATCTCCTTTGTCTTTTATTTCGTACTGAGTAGAAAAGGCCAGAATGCCTTTGAAAGATAATCCTGGAGCCTGCAAGTAGTACCCTGCTCGTCTGAGGCGCTGGGGACCAATGAGCTTAGTGGTAGCTGAGCTGAGTGGTAGCCAGGCTGGGAATCCCTGGTGGCAGGTGGCTTGTTCCCTGCTTACTGTGGGGATGAGGGTTCTGCATGGAGGAGCTTGCGGGAGAGAAGGGACAGCGAGGCCCAGGCAGATGAGGGGCTTGGGGTGAGCCAGCCTCCAGCAGTGGCCCTGTGTGTCGGGGCTGTGGAGTCTGTGGCCTTCTGAGGCAACCTCTGTGCCTTTCTGCACTGGCTGCATGCAAAGGGAGAGACTTTCTGGCAGTGTGTGGTCTGACCGATAGAAGCGTTGCTTGGGACAGAGATACGTATTACCTTGGTCCTTGACTTAAATGCTGAAGATTCAAGCTGCTTTCAGTGTTAACATTAGCGTGCCCTGAGCAAAAGAGAGGAAGTACAGGACTTCGTGCGGTGCTTGTAGTGAGACAGACCTGATCAGATGAGGTAGCTGAGCGAGTGGTGCCCTTTCCTGCAAGGAAAACCTTTTGATGTCATGCACCTGGTGCAGGGTTCAGATGATTGCTGGAACATCACCAGCTGAGGTTGTTAATGGTTCATGTGTGAGTATCTGCAGAAGCAGCACTGTGGGGGAAGGTAGTTAACATGCTAAGAAATGTTATCTTCAAAATAGCAGTGTCCAGAGCTGAGAGCTGAAATATGCTTAGGGTAAGAAATGTAACTTATTGCTATTCTGCGCTCTGAGAGGTTTCTCCCGTGGCCAGAAGAGCTGGGTGTGATCAGGGGCTCCAGGAGCAGCTGTAGGAATGGGTGTTGTGGATAGTTCGTTCTTACTTGTAAGAGCTTACCCTTTTTGTCAGTGTTTGCATGTGTAGGAACATGTTGCAGCAAGCCCTAAGCTCTGGCAGATGTGTCCTATGTCAGATTAGGAGGGAGTTTGTGCCTTTCTGTCTAGGGAACGTAAGTGCCAGCTGCCCTGTGTGTGTGTTGTTGTGGTGGTAGAGAGAAGCACTACTGTGTCTTGCATCCTAGCAGATGAAATCAGGAAAACATGGTTACTGTGAAAGAAGGCTGATTTCTAAATCAAGGTTTTAACAAGTCCTGGTAGGCCTTGGTCCTGCATGTCTGCTTCACTCATGGGGTAAATGCTGAGCTTTGGCTGAATGAGCCAAAGGGGCAAGTCTGGTATGACTGCAGGCAAATATGTCAGAGACAAGGAGAAAGAACCAGCGAGGGAAAAGTCCACTTATTGACAGATCATTTTATAAATAATCCACTCGGATGTATTGGAGAAGACCTTAATAAAAGGAGGCCAGCAGAGATGTTTTGATTTGCATTGTGATTTGTGCATATTTGTATCTGACACGCTCTAAAGGCAATGGCAGAGTGTCCTGTGATACCGATGGAGAAAATAAATGTTCAGCTAATTGTCTAACAGCAGATGGTTTAATACTCCTCAATTGGATAAGCTCCATTGCCCTATGAGTAAAAGTTCATATGGTGACTATAATTTTGCTGTGTTCTCTGCATTTTCCCTGCCTCCAGGAAAGGAAACAGTAATCTCTATTTTGTCCATTCAGTATGAGGGCTAATCTATATCGTAGTGCTGTCTTCATGCCACTTGTTTTTGTCCACATACACTTTGAAGATGTGAACAGTGAGTTACTTTGAGGTCAGGTGACTAACTAGTCCTGTTAGGTGGAAGGATACTGTGTATTTGTACTGCTTGTTGGGTCATAGTGTTCCACTAGCCATGCTTATACTGGCAGTCTGGCTGCATTTCAGAAGCCCGTAGCACGGAGCAGATAATAAATGATGAAGCTCCTATTGACGCCCCTGATCTTAGAGAAGACAGTGCTTGCAAAAAAGGGAGAAGGGGAGGGTTGTTCTGGGCTGGGTCCGTGAACTGCTCTGATTCTCCCTTGTCAGTGAGATGGCTGGGTCTGACCCAAGGGAGAGGGTGTGCATGGAGGGCACTGGAGGATGAGACTGCTCCTTTGGTGGCAGCCTACAGCTGGGTAAGACTATGAGCTTTTGTGCTCTTATAGCTGTACCCACTTTCTCTGCAGCCTCTTCCCAAACCGTTTCAACTTTGTCTGCTGACTTCCCATATGTCCCCTCTCAAGGCACTGACAGTTCAGGGGTGCAGCTACTTCAGTGTTGCCTTGAAGTAGTCTCTGTTTTGTCTTGCAGTGTGCCGAAGTGGAGCACTTCTGCTATCAGCTCTGCCCACAGTCAATTCTTAATTCATGGCTGGAGAAATGGAGTGTCTCCTGGAGTACGGGTACAGTCCTTGATGCATGTCTGTCCTGGACAAAGTGCTGCTTTTCTGGCAGGGCTGCAAATATATGATATCAAGTGAATCTGAAGCAGTAACAGAGGAAGAAATAAAGGAATGTGCATGGTATCAGCAAGCTTTACTATTAGCTTATTTTGGGGGGCTGTGTTCAACAGCCTGAAAAGGTTCGAGTCCTGCCAAGACAGTGGAACCTGGGGCTGTTGCACGGTATCACATGGAGATGCTTCCAGGCTGGAAGTAGGTGTCCTGCCTGCTTACTTGGAAGCAGAAACGTCCTCCAGCTCTAAACAAAATTAGCAGCTATGGTAATAATTGTGTGGTAGATGTTTGATTTTGGTTGTGTTTTTAAGTGATCTTTCACCATGTAGATCCTGTCTCTGGAAGTGGATTTTGTTCCACACTCTACAATAGTGTGGATATTTCTGTTTTGACCTGTTATCTCTTTCTGTTAACCTCACCATGTTGTTTTAGCTTACTCTCAGTCTAGGCTTGTTTGTGGCTGCACAGTGAGGCAGAGGAGCACGAGTAGGTGGCCAGATGCATCATATCTCTTCCAACTGGAATATTTCATATCATCTGAAACTTTATTTCTTGCATATCTCTAACATTACACTTATGTATTCCACAAAACTTTTAAGAGAAGTTCTATGATTCATTAATGAGGAGGAGGGGAAAAAAAAACTGGAAAAAACCAACAGCGCAGCATAGCCCAAACACTCATTTAATGCTCAACTGAGAACTACTGAACCTATAAAATGTGTAGAGACACTGGGAGACTGAAAAGGGCGTGAGGACTTATTGCTATTGACACCTGTTTCCAAATTTGTGATCCTGGAAAAGTTACTCTGAGCAGGTTTTGCACAAAGGCTTGTAGGCAGTTGGGTTTAAACCTTTGCGTTGCTCAGGTTGTTGTGGTGTGCATGCTCTGACAAGTTCAGCTCAGCTGTATTGGCCAGCATGACCATGAGTCCTGGCTCTATTCACCGCTGAGATGGGGGCAACAACTGCAACTGCTGTATGGCTTGAAAGAGTAGGTCTCATGGAGCTGACATGGTTGTTGTAGGAAAGGCTTTGGCACCTGTGTGAAATCCTGAGAGAGTGGGCTGTGAGGTGCTGCGTGGCAGTTCTGGCTTGGTTATTTAAGCACATGGCGTAGAGAACTCCCGTGTGCGATGTACCCAGCGGTGATGAACTCCTCTTAGGAGAAGAATGTTCCCTCACACTTGGCAAAGCAGAGGTAGCACCTCCAGTCCCTCTTTGTGCTGAGTGTGGCTGCTCACCCTGCTGAGATCCATGCTGCAGGAGTTGGTCTGGTGCAGGGTCTGCTTGGTAGCATGCAGGGTATGTGCTGCAGGTGTGCTCAGAGTTTCCCTTATAATTAATTTTTAGGAGTTGAGTTACCTACAGGTGCCTCCAGGTCAGGATAGCCTGGGTTGGTCACCCAGGACTTGGTTCATAAGAAAGCTAAAGTTGGCTTGATTGTGGCTTCTAGCACTGACTTTTGAGGAGTTAGTAGTGAAGATGAGCAAATTCTAGGGAAGGAAGTCAGATAGCTTTGAACAGGGCTATGATGTGGTTGGAGAAAACACAAATACTTAAGACTCTATTTGAGGGAAGATGATGAATTCTAATGCAGTTTATTGCAGACAGCAGCACTCCTATTGATGAAGTTTATTGTGAGGGTCAAAATGTACATTTACAAATACCAAGAGAAGTGTGGGGAAAGAAGCACTGAAATGTAAAGAATAATTATGTGTATTGTTACAGAATCCCAAGAAGGGGATGAAGTGAACAATCATGAGGCATTTAATAGGTTACTAAAGGTCATGCCTGAGTAGATACCATTGCTCTTTTATGAGTTTGTCCTAA